TGATTGTCGGGCTACCACTGAATCCCAAAGGTGCTGGATGGGGTTCAGGTCAGGGCTCTGTGCAGGCCAGTCAAGTTCTTCCACACACTTTATATTGTAGCTACAGTTTGTAGTATTTAAAAGTCTCACAGAGATGGCTTCACCCCCACAACAAGCAGCACTTGAAGGGCGATCCTCCGGTGCAGGTTCCAGTGCTCGACAGCGATGGCCACCAGCAGCCCACCAATAAAGAGCATGTTGGAATCTTTCAGGTACTGAATACAAACCTGGATGAGAGAAGAAAAAGAAACCCAAATCCCAGTCAAACTAATTCAAAGTGGTTTATTAAAATGTGTGTGTGCAGTAAACAGATGGAAATACCTCGTTTGATTCCATGACGCCCATCATGGGGAAGAGAATAACAGGCAGCAGGGCGGTCACAGCCAGAGGGATGCACTCTGTACACCAGTACAGCGCCATGAGGATTATTACGTAGCCACATTTTGCCTCCTGTAATGACAGACAAGGAATATGTTCCTTAACAGCCTTAATACACAGTATATACACTGTATGTTACACATAAATTACATAAGTGGTCAAATGCACTCGATAATTGTGTACAAGTGATGTCTACTCAAGAGAGAGAATCCCGTTAAAGCCTGTGAGGGAACCACAACACACCATAAACTTCTTAACCTTGGCTAACTTACTGTAGTTCAGTTAGCGTGGTTAATCATTCTCTGATATCTGTAGTAAACATTGAACAACTTCCTTTAAACAAGGAAATGCTACATATATGTCCTTGGTGTTGAAACTTTGCAGCTAGTCATAAAACAATTACATTATAAATTTATTATTCACACACAGTAAACTCTTGCTTTTGTCTGTGTAGTTGTCCGGAACCAAACCAAACATCAAATAACTGCTGACAAAAGTCAAGCAATAAGGAAATGAATTGAGTTCCTTGTGCTTAGTTGCTTGTTTCGCTGTATGTTCCATTTACAACAGCTGAACCAGAAACAAAGCCATAAAATAGATAGTTACTTTATTAATCCCGCGAGGGGAAATGTTTTTGCTACAGCAGCAATTATGGTACAGGTAAATAAAATAACAGATAAAAAATCTTAAATATCAAATGCACAATATATACAACAGATATAAATAGAATAACAATAAATTAACTAACTAACTAAACTAAACAGTAGTGCAAAGATGTAACCAAACAACAACAGTGTGACGGTGTTATAGTTTGCTATAATAATGCTCATCTCTTTTAAAATGTACAGGAATTGTGACAAGCTGAATAGGAACAGAGGTTGTAGTCTTTGATTAAATGGGACAGATTGAGACCCTGAACATGATCCCACTTTTCAATATATCATAGACAAAGATTACATGGTACAAAGGGTCAATGACGGGGGCCTCTCCTGGCCATGTTGCAGCTAGGAAGACAATGTAAAGCAACAAATGTCCTTCCAGACTGAGGTCTTTCATCCCTTTTGATTATCATTTTCATTTTATTGCAATAGTTTCCCAAAATGTGGCCACAGATTTGGATACAGAAACATAGGAACTCTCTCTCTCTCTCTCAAAAATACTTTGTGGATTGAATGATTAAATTTGAGGGGGAAAAAAGATAGCAGAAAATTGATTTTCATTTGATAGTATAATCATTTTCTGAGTTAAATTCTACTAATACAACCGCTCAAGTGAATTGCATGTTATATGCATTTGAAAACACCGTATAATATGTTTGATGATACATCTTTCAGAGAGCATAAAAAACTCACTCAAAGATCCAAGCTTTAGTCACTGTTGTCTCCAGAATACCCAACAATATGAGTAACCCCCCTACTGTACACGTCACTGTCTAAGACCTGAACTCTGTTTCTAGTGTTTGTTTAATGAGCCTCTATTCTTCGCTCTTCTGACTCCTTACTTTCATTGCATTAGTCATGGTCAGCCCTTATTTGCCTCATTAACACTTAAACATATCTCTACTTCAAATAGCACCTCTCTCTGATATCTACCTCCTCCACAAAGACAATCTCTTCTGCCACTTTCCTTATGTATCGTGCATTTTTACAACAGAGTCGTATCTAAAGTCAGGGCGCTGTGACCTTTACATTACTTACTCCTAATAATCACATTGTTCTTTGATTTTAAGCATTGAAATTAATGTTGCTACAATAGAAGTAAAAGTATCTGAATCTGGAACTGAGTGTTGTTTCGTTGGGCATCTGTGGTATTGATGCATCAGCCTTAATGACCATCGAGGTAGTTCATTAATCTTGTTATCAGAACACCTTTGGGCCAAAGTTTAGATATGATGATAAACCTGTGAAGTCCTATCAGATCTGTTCTTTGATGTTTGACTTGTGATTATGTTTTTGGTAAATGGCAGGACAGACCCGTCATTTAATCTAAATTAGTCGGATCAGCTTTTAAGCCGTTAACGCTGAATGTGCAGCGAGTGTGGTTGAAGGACGTTGGAAGCGATTTGTGATCTACGAAAAATAATCTATCATATCAAGCTAGTTTAACTCAAATGGCAACAATATTACAACACGTTAGTTATTTACTCCATCTCCAGCATGGCTCTCAATCAGTAGCTCCACAGTTGATGAATAAACTGCACCATGTGTCCATCAGTACAGATGGAGAGGAGAAAGTTGCACTCTGCCTTTAATTGAACATATTCTACAATAGTTTGCATTTTGAAGCTACACTTGCTTTGATTTGAAGGAATGCGAGCTGCACTTCACTGGCTTTCTTGCTAACCTCGTCATCGCTAAGGTTTTGGGAGAAGCGTTGAGAATTTACAACGAAGCACCTCAACATCAGAAAAACATAATTTAATCGATATAGATATACATACAAAATAAGCAACATTTAAGGGCTGAATGTATTATATTGCATAGCTTCGGACTAATATACATTATGCAATTAGACAAGCCATCTCTATTCCGCAGGTCTGAAGTCAAATATTTCTGCAGATACGTTCTACGACAGGAAAAACTTATACACATGGTTGTTTTCTTACCGGGGTCGGGCTGGCAAGGGGCAGAGGCAGAAGTAAAAGAGGTGTCAGGACTATCACAATGTAATTCCTATACCTCCACAACCATCTAAGAAACCCAGCCATGATACAATCCACAAGGTGTGACGGACATCCAAAGTATTGAAGAGTCAAGAGAAAAAAATAATTAGCAACACCACCCTACTGTGCTAACTAAGAGACAGTAACAGAAAGCCACAGTATATATATGGCTGTGTGTAAAGTCTGCCACCCTGAAAAACAATTAAAAATTAACTATTAGAGTGAGGGCCCTGCATGTCCTGGGTGTGTTGTTTCCCTGTGTTTGGGGGGGGAGGAGGGGGGGGGATGTCTGAAATGGCATGTGTTGTCAATGTCTTGAAGAGGAAAGAGCAATCTATAAAAAACAAAGTTCCATTTGATAAGAGTGTTGATAGCCTTGTAAATAAGTTGTGTGGGCGTAACTTAAAAAACACAGTGTTGTGAGTCCTCTGAAAAGCCTGCCAGTGGCTGAAATGCAGACAAACCAGATAATCCTCCCACCGTGTGTGTGAAGTGAAAAGGTTAAAAGGTTTTGCAAGAGAGTACGATGATGGATGTTTTATTGCTTGAGGCAACCTTGAGTTTCTATTGAATTACGTTCGAAGTCCTTGACGGTTACTTGAGGAACAAATACTTTCAGATTTAAAAAAAAAACAAAAAAAAAAAAAAAGAGAAGTAAACCATTTGTAATTCAAGTTTGCACTTAGTTGTACATAATCCTCTTAGAGACTTCGGGGGGGAAATAGTGTTAGAGAATGATTTTAAAGACACAACTCATTTTAAAAAAAATGTGTAAACATGACAAACAAATAAGTGTGTTTACTTGGGTGTAACATGTGAACACTGCTTAATGCTTGGACAAACTGGACGTTTAGGGTTGAAGTCAGAGGATCAAAGAGTTCGATTTAAATAAGGAACAAAGTAAATTGTGAATGAGACTACGCACTGAGAAATACCACATAGCAATTTTGCCTGCACAAACCTTTCTGACAGATTATTTATACAGTATCCATCAACTAGAATGAACAATTACTATAATACTATCATTTTGGTTGACATTAATTCCCTAGTGCATACGTCACTGAATATATTGTGCATATTATTTTAAATATCTAACATGCCCTCCCATGCATACAAAAGAAACTGCTTTTCACACATCGTCTATGAGGACAGAATTATGTGTTAGTTTTTCTTAGCAAATTCTGACATCTGTGCATTATCTTAGCTCATTCATATTAAAAGAAATGTGGCTACCAAGTGGAGAATTAGTATACACAATAAAACTTGCATGTTTGCTGTAGTCTGTCAAATGCCTTCCTTCAAAATTAATTAAAATAACCAGTTAAATAAATTTCTCTTTGACACCTCATTAGAATTAATTAATAGAGAAGAATGCTGACTGCATAGTTTTAGTTTCAAAACAAAAAAAGGCAGTTTAGTACCTTCACATAGATTTACAAAATTGACTACCAAAGCACTTTCTCTTGATAGTTGTCTCTGCTGCCATCTTGTCGTTTGTCTCGTTATGAATGTCCACTGATATTCATGCCTGTTGCACAATACGCGTGATATTTTAGACAGTATATGCTGTTATATTCCATTTCTAGGCTGCCTTTTAAAAAACATGGAGCCAATGACTGCAGATGTAAAAATATCCTGTTAATCATTAAAAAGATAACTTTTGTGCACCCACAAGCACCCCCATGGCTAAAATCATAAATAAAGTCCATAAAAATGCAAGCTATGCCATGTATAATGATTGACATCAATTAAAAAAAAAAAAAAAAAACAGAACAGTAGTTTGTAGCAGGGCGGTTGAGTAGGTAATGTCTGCTGTTCTTTTGTGGGAATTCGGGGTGTTTTAGAAACTAATGGTAGTTGACATTAGAGATAAAGAATAAAGTTACTTAGTAGTTAGTTACTCGGAGAATAGGCTTTGAAACAGCATTTTAACTTAACGACTTAACATGAAGTGGCCAGCTATTCCACATTATCTAACATTAGTTATCTAAAATGTGTAGTTCACAGCTTTGTCCAGATGGGGCTGCCGAGTTCACTCTTCAACGTGCCTCAGTGTCGCTTCCTTTATTCGGCTGAGCTGGCAGTTAAGTTACCTTTAAGCTCGTTTCATTTCACCCCACAGAAAAACACCAGCGGCGCAATCAAACTAGCGTCGGGGAGCAGTTTAATGTTTGTGTTCAGACACTCGGAATCCAGAGAAAGTAACGTCGCAACAATCAATGTTCCCAGTTAACGCTAAGTCGGTTCGACATGGACGAGCTGGACACCGCAGCGATCCTTCCCGACGTTGCGTCAACTGACGAGGAAAACAACGGCTCGTGTGGCCACAAAGAGGAGGCCGATGTTCCGTTACCGACAACCCGCTTCGTACGACCGCCGTGGAGATGCTGGCGGCCGGTTTCTGTGGAGCCAGTGCTGTTCCTCTCCATGTTTTCTCTGGCCCTGCAGGCGCCTCTAGCCACACAGTATCTGTGGGACCGCATCAGCGACGACCTGGGCTACAACGGCTCCAAGAGGTCGGAGTGCAGCAACGGTTCCGTGCCTCCCGACCCGCTTCAAATGGTTACTCATCTAAAATAAAATACTCTTATGTCTCAGCCATTTAAGTGCCTTGCTCTAAGGCACCTTCATACTTGTCTGCTGTCAACGCTCATTTATCCGAACTACTGAACAGCAAAGCGACCTAACAGGCCAGCCATGAAATCTCCTCTGATAACCGCAGCTGGTGTCAGGTGCGCTAATTAGATGCAGGCCAGGTGTGGATCATGAACAATCATTAAAAAGGCTACAAGATGTCACTTTGCTATATTATAAGCCACTATACATGCAACACAAAGGCATACAATACACAGACCAAAAAAAAGACATAAATCATTATTGCACAATGGAAGCAAGGCCACAATAAACGACATAAATGCAGCTAAGTTACATTTAGAGGCTTTTTTTTATTTTCAAAGCAAAATGTGACGATTAAGTGTAAAGAATCATCAGTGCCTAAAATGCAAGTGCATACATTTCACACAAAATAAATAAACCGCTCTTCTTTTTTTGAGCACTTACAAAAAGAGGAACAGCAGTCACAAGTTAAAACGATGCACATGCACAATTTGAACAGGTTCACTGACTTTTTAAATGAGAACTAGTAGTAGAGGTTTGAGGGATCAGAATGGTTCAGTCCTGCTCAGCGGAGCATTGACGGTTTGCTTTACACATCTAGTTTGAGACATTCTACAGAGGTTCCAAGGTTGTTATGGGTAGGCTAGGGGACAAAACAGAAACAACTTGAGTATCTCAAACTCCTGTTGGCTGATAAATGTGGTCGACCGGGTTACAATCATTGTTTTGTTTTTTACAGGAGGTGCAAACCATGACAGCCCACTGGAACCTGTACATCAGTCTTGGGGGCTTTTCTGTAGGCCTGTTGGTGGTGCCTCTCCTGGGCTCATGGAGTGACCTCGTAGGTCGCAGACCTGTCCTTATCATCCCCAACCTCGGCCTGGCCCTCCAAGCGCTGGTTTACCTCGTGGTGATGTACCTGAAGCTGCCTGTGGTCTACTTTCTAGTGGGCAGGCTGCTCAGCGGCTTTTCGGGGGATTTCAACGCCATCCTGGCGGCCTGTTTTGCATATGTGGCTGACACCAGCGACAGAAGGTCCCGCACCTTCAGGGTGGCCATCTTGGAGGCTTGTCTGGGCCTTTCAGGGATGCTAGCCAGCATCATCGGAGGACAGTGGCGGCGGGCACAAGGGTGAGGAATGTTAGTTCCATTTAGCCAGTGCACTTTGCTCAAAATCAAAACCTTTGCTATCTGAATTGGTAATCATTACCATTATGTTGTTATGCCTCTATTTAGGTACATCAATCCGTTCTGGCTGGTCGTGGCCACTAACTTGGCTTCGGCTCTGTACGCTTATCTGTTTGTCTGTGAGTCCGTCCTGCCAGACCCAAGTGCCAAGCTCCTCACCTCTCGCCACCATAAAGCGGTCTGGCACCTCTTCTCAACAGGAGGCAGTACCAGTGAGGCGGGTGGAAGATTTCACAGATGCAAGCTGTGGCTTTACATACTGTGTTTCTTCGTAGTGATGACTGTACACATGGGCTGCAAGGATTTGTATGTGTTGTATGTGCTGAGCTCACCGCTGTGCTGGGGGCCGGCCCTCATTGGCTATGGATCAGCAGCTCAGAACCTGGACTACCTCAGCAGTCTGCTGGGGCTGAAGATCATGCAGCGCTGCCTGGAGGACTCCTGGGTGGCTGTCGCGGGTCTGGCCTCCAATATCATCGGGCTGGTGGTCTTCTCTGTAGCTGACACCACCCAGCTCATGTTCACAGGTGAGTTAGTGACCTCCAGATGGTTGGATGGACAAAAGGTTTTCTATCCAGAAGCAAAAGTGAACGGTAAATGAGATGACTTCAAGGTCTTATTAAGCACAGAAATCAGTCCTTATCTCAGCATATTTAAGCATATTCAGCCTTTATAAGGAATGATAACATATAAAATGATGTTACACTGAAATGCAATATGCCCTTTTCACATTCATTATCCTTCTTCAGCCACAGGTGAAAATAATCTCACATTATCAGCTATCATGAGTCCAGCTCAGCAAGTGAAAGACTGAAACCAGTCGATAGCATTCTCAGATTTCACAGATTGTAAAGTAGTTGCACAATAATGTATGGGTCATTTTATGACAGAATAAAAACATACAACAAGAATACATGTATACAAATGCAGAAACATGATTTAAAATGTTAGCAGTGGTCACTAATGTGGTGTCAACTGTGTCACAATGTACAGTATATCTTTTTAGCTGCTACTAAATTGAGATTTGCTTGTCACCAGGATATGGTTTGTGTTTCCTCTTCATGGCTGTGACGCCTGTGCTCCGGTCAAAGCTGTCTAAGTTGGTGAGCCCATCAGAACAAGGTCAGTCACTGAACATTTACAAAATACTATACTCCTGAGTATTATATTGCTACGATGCGGTGTAAGTCCCTTTTTCACGAGGGACTGCTTGCACCCTGCAGCTTGTATACATTTCTGTGTGTTTGAACGTTCTCCCAGGTGTCCTGTTTGCCTGTGTGGCCTGTGTGCAGAGCTTATGTTATCTGGTGGGCAGTGGCCTCTTCAACTCCCTCTACCCGGCCACACTGCACTTCATGAAGGGCTTCCCTTTCCTTCTTGCTGCCATCATCCTCTTCATCCCTGCTGGAATAATTGGGTGGGTGTTGCTCTGGCCTCATTGGAATAATGTAACTTTTAGTTATATTCTTATTTGTCAATTCTAATTACCAAAAGAAAGACAATCTGCACCTTTTTTGAAGATGAGCAGAATAAATGATTGACCATTTTCAATGTTTGTCTTTAAAGGACCCTGCAATGTTTAGACCAGAGGAGAGACCACAGAGACTCCACGACATGCTGACCTGAAGAGAGGAACCAGTCAGAGAGTTAGAGTTCATCCTGGTGTCAGTCTAAGACGTGAGCAGCTCTGACACAGAGACATCCGTCTGTGGTGAGGGGAGAGATTTTTGATCTTAACACAGTGATCGGGTGCTTGACTTTTCGTTAACTAGCTCAGCGATTGGGATTCTTCCGAGTCACATCAACGTGATCAAGAACAGAGGATGGAGAATCAAGCTCCTGACTGACATGACTGTGAAACCTCCTCTGTCTTAATGATTCGATAGTTTGCTGGGCCTAAAAACAAAACACAGTCTTTCATCATGACATTCATACAAATGAAGTAATGAACAAGGTTCGATTCATGCTTTCATTTTGTGATTTGATACATTTCAATACAGTGCCAAAGAGTGCCTTACATTTCCATTTTGAATGTATTAGTTGCTGTAGCTCAAATAACACACTACAGGTTAAGGTGCTAACTCTAAGAGGAAACTCCTCAGTTGTTCCAAAACATGTAAAGCATGGGTGCAACATAGTGTGTTCACAGAGGGTCAAAAAGGGAGGTGACGGATATGACCTAGTTTTGATTTGAGAAATGCTTTAGATCGATAAATTGAGATCACATAGATTGAGTGACGGTTAAGTTTATTTTACTGAAAGATGAGTCATTTGTTTGACAAGATCAATCCTTTTTATTTTTGATATTTAAAATGTATTTGTGTTTTTACTAAAGTAAAATTTTAAAAGCATGATTTTTTTTTCAACAGTACTTTTTTCATATGGTACTGCTAATTTGAGTAAAAGATCTGAGTACAATTTCCACTACTGTCTGTTCGGTATCCTAAATCTATTAGTGGATGTTCTCTCTGGAACCCTCAAACAGTGAAGTTAGTACCTGAGATTCATGTTATGTCATAGCATGTCCAAACCCAGCTCTCGGTAATCCACATCAGAGAGAGAAACTGTAGCGGCAGCCGGGGAATAATGAGTTCCACCGTGACCCTCCTCCCTCCTCCCTCCACCACAAACAACACGGGATAGTCCCAGAGCTCAGGCCCACTGCCAGCATGCACACAGGGGTCAGGTCCTAGATGCACAATGAGGGAACATGAGCTGCCAAATCAGCTTTAAGATGCACAAAGGGAAGTTGAGAGGCTAAATGGAGTATTAACTCTGCTACTGTGAATTGATCGTGACGATTATTTTTTTTCTCAGACATTCTTCAGACGAATTGTGTGACAAAATTGACTCACAAAACTGTCTATTCTTTGTTGTAATCAGTTGTGCAATATTTATAAGTTGCAATCATTTAATTTATTGGAATAGAACTGGATCATGTTGGATAGTTTGTGGTAGAGATGATGGTTCAATTTGTTTCATTTTACATGTCACGCGTGATTAAGTGAAGTTCATATAAAGGATTTCACCGTTCATTTATTTTACAGCACCTTTTATTTTCCACCATGTTTCAAATAAAATTATCAAATTATTTGTTTTACACTGAGAGCATTAAAAAACATCACACAAAAAAAATCCTGTCCTACTTTTTTGAAAAAAAAAAGCTTATTTAATAAATGCAATGAGGTGAACTTAAAATGCAAACAACATTAAGGCAAGATCAGATAAAAGCCCTGCAAAACAGCAGTTTCATTCAGGCTACAGGAGTATCATTCTACAACACAACATGTGTCCAACACATCTTGATGACTACATGACCGTATGAATTGCAAAGCACACAAATAATGACTTATCAGGCTTAACACTGTGGTAAATGAAACCTCCAGTCAACAGTATGAAATGATAGTTTTATGTATTACAGTATGTTGTAACAGCAGTCTACAAGACAGAATCATTTTCAAGGAGTCAACAGTTTTTGACTACTGTAGTTCATGTATGTCAATTCAACATTGATAATACAGTCGGAAGGAAACGTTTAATACTACATGTGCATTTTTGTTGCCTGTACACTCCTTAAATCCGTATTTGGTTAAATGTTGGGTGCATTTTTACAGCTTGTAGCTCATTTATATCTGTATGTCATGCCTCTAGCTTAGATAATGCCCACCGTGGATACTCCCATCATGTTCTATTCAATGCATCACAACCAAAACATAAAAATATTTATGTCAGCAAAGTCAGAGACCTGCTTTGGTCTTATGAATGTACAGTATACGAGTTGAACAAAAGATGGTTGCATATAACGTTTGTGATGAGCGGATGCTTCAGACATTGCTATTGGTGATTTTGCTGGGGTGCCAATAACGGCTGATCTATCACAGTTATTTTCCTGAGAGACAGAAGGCGTATATTCTGTTCCTGATTATACATTAACAGCAGTATGAGGGTACTAGGATTATAGGCTTACAGTTTATTCTGTACAATCAGAAAATCCCCTTTTGATTTGTATTTATTGTTATATATTAGGTCTATTTATATTAGGTCTTTGTGTGAGCATGTAAGCTTAACATCAAATTGACTTCACATGCATTTGAGCAGAGCAGGGAAAGCTGCTGGCCCGTTCACCGTGGGCCATGTTGTGTTTGGCTGGCTTTGTTTAAATTTAGCTATCAAACTGTTTATGTCAGTTTATTTCTTTTTCTGCTCTTTGGAGGCGTCTGTGCCGTCGGTTTGGTCTTGGTGTTCTTTCAGGAAGCGTAGGATCTTCTCGATCGTGGCCTCCTGATATTCATGGGACCATCTGTGTCAAGAAAAAGGCACAACAGGCATTTGATGATGTGCATCATGAGAAAATCAGTTCTCCAATGGATATTTTAAAGATCTGCTAAACATGAATCGCAAACAGTAAAAAGTTAACCCTTGTATTCACAAATTATTCATCAAAGAAATAAAAGGCTAACTAAATAAGCTGTTAAACCTGTTGATTAATTTAAATGTACTGTATGTTTTTTTCTCAGTAGAGCTTTGGTATATTTGTGTATACTGTTACTCACTTGATACCATTGAAGTTCAGGATTGCTCTCATGTCCTCCGGCAGCGACATGGGATCGGGCCACATAAATTGATCTGTGACAGGAACTATGTTCTTCTTACCGGCCAAGGCTGTGACTATCTCCTGCAAGGTCAATGAGGATTCCTTAGAGTCGATGAAACACTCAAATGTCCAGACATGTAAAACATCATCTTACCCCCTTGTTTGAACTACAATATGTAATTTCAACTGATAGCTCAGTGAGGGAATATGAATGGAGTATGACTAATACAATTCCACAAGTTTCTGTTGTTTCAATAGAAATGTAGAATATCTTGATAGGGGCTAAGTTTTAAGCAAAATAAATCGATACAATGTGACCTAACATTTCAACACGGAGTCCCTCACATGCAGAGAATGGAAAACGTCCGACCTTATGCACCCAATCCTTCATGGCAGTGTCACCCATGCACTTGTCGAGCGCGTTGGCGGACAGGACCAGGATGAAGTTACGTGCCCGCTGTACGCTCTGGATCAGTTTGTCCTCGAATTTACCGGACTCCAGCTTCTCCACATCTATGAAGACACTGTATCCTCGAACCTGCAGGTGCACCTTCAGAAGACTTGGGACGGAAAATGAAATGAGAAAGATGTAGTTTCAATATACATGCATTCTGACCTTGTCCATTTAAATCTTTATGATTTTTTTTCCACTAGTCCCGTTTCAGGTCTGACCTGGCCAGCTGGGAGCCGGTGGTCCGACGATAGCTGATGAAGACGTCGGGCCCTGCAGGCAGGGCATCTGTGTGGCACGGTTTTAAGGGCCTGCGGTTGGCAGAGAGTATCCTGGCTCTGTGGACGCCGTTGTCTATGTGGCAGTCGTGTTGGAGCTGCAGATCGGTCAGGCTCTGGACAATGTTGCGATCCACGCCTGACTGGACCAGGCCATAGGTGTACTGACGGAAACGAGGGTCCACCATAACTAACCAGTCAGCCATATTGTTTGGGTCACATGTGGAGTAGTTGGCATACGTCTTCAACACACGCAAGTCTCTCAAAAACCTGCAGGATTAGACAGAACAGAGTTATTTGTTAGACTGGTGTTAGACTGCGTTGCTCATGTGTTGAAAGGTTTGCACCGCTTGCCTCTTGCGAGTGAGGCTTGCAGTCATGCCAAGATCAGCGCACAGTTCCTGGTCTGTGATGTTCAGCAGGAGGTCTCCATCCACCTGGAGCTCCTATAGAGCAAGATAGTTAGACATGTCAGACACTGTATATTAGCTGGACCTTTACGCCTGTTATTTTTCTATTTGTTGAGTAATAAACTGTGAAACATACCTGGAAACGGTCACAGTAGGCACTGAAGCCAACCTGCTGCAGCCAGGTCAGCACTTCACAGGTTTTCCAGTTGGGCACACATGGCAGGATATGCTTCGGCACTTCCTCCCCCATCATGCTCAGTGCCCGCTTGGCGAGGGCACAGGCTGTGCCATTACTGGAGTACATGACAATTGTTTTGAGGCTCTGCACCGCTCCGATCTCTTGAAATATCTGGAAAGGAGCACAATTTAAAACTCAGTCACAACAAAGCTGCCAGACAGTATCACCTGAACTTTTGAGCTTCATAGAAAGTGGACAGTGTACCTTAGTGTTGCGCTGACGAGACTTGATGCTGGTCTCAACACAAAGGTAAAAGGCTGCAATGCACTTTCCCTCCACTCTCGTGCCATCCAGTAATGGCAAAAGATGCTGCAGATCAGCTGCTGTCTTACCCTGCATGCAGTCTGCACTGTCCAACAAACTGCGGGCAAAGTCATCCGGATCCAAAGAAGCAATGAATGGCTCCACCAGCTCCAAGGTTCCAGATTTCACCACCTCTTTCTCAATTTCTCGGTTTGCAGCTAACACTGTCACAGCCAGACACGCGTAGAAGCGAATGAGTTCATCCTCTTTGGAAAAGGCCAGCGGGAAAAGCCACTCGGCTGCCTGTTTCTCGATCATCAATCGCTGGCAGCGGTGGCCTCCGTACATGGCACAGTTTGCTAGTGCCACAGCACAGTGGCGCAGCACGGTGGGATCCGTACCTCGGCACCAGAAGAGCAGGGCATCCAGGGCACCGTTGGAGATGAGGTGGACGGACGTCTCCTCGCTGTGTTTGAACATGTGCTCCAGGATCCCCGAGACGCTGCGAGCCAGCTGCGCATCTTCCTGATGTCGCGTCAGGTTGAGGACGACACCCAGACCCATTCGTGCTATATAATCTCTGACAACAGAAGTTTGTCAAGATGATGATAAAACGTGACTCGTGAAGTCAGATAGCTAAACTGACTGCAAGTGTCAGTGAACAGCAAACAGATACTCCTGAACAAATGAGGCACAAATATGTGAGTACTGGTAACACCAAGTTATCAATCAACTGGGGCTGAAATGATTAGACAATTAATGAATTGGACGATCAACAGAACATTTTTGACTTTGATTGATTGATTCATACTTTAAGTCACTCATCAAGCAAAAATACTGAACAGTCTTCGGTACCAGCTTCTCAAATGTGAATATGATACTTTTCTCTGTTTCATAACACTGTAAATTTAATATAGTTTAGTCTTGGACTGCTGGTCAAACAAAAAAAAGTACATAGTTATAGACTGATGAATAGAGTGATCAGAATATTATGCCCTAAAACAACATAGATATAAAAGGAGTGGACCCAAAAAGAATACTGCCTTTAAAGCCAATAAAAACAGCCTTTCTATATCCTAAGTTATAAGCTTAAGTTACTACTGTATGTTGATTAATTGTTTTTGTATATTTTTCATAACAAACACACAATCTTAACAGAAACAACAAATTCAAATCATCAAAAAACTGTTGTTTTAGACTGTATCATACTGTTAAAAGTGTTCACGTTATTTGGTCCTACCTGTTCTCTGAGATCAGTATCTGCTCCAACAGTTTTGCAGACTCATAGGTGATCTCCACAGCAGGTGTCTGCTGAAGCTGTAGCAGCAGCTCTAGGCCTCCATCCAGCCGGATCCTGTTGCAGATCTCCTCCGCCACTTGACGGCCCGCAGCGGGCAAAGCCCAGGCTTCCTCCACCAGCTGGAAGAGCTCTGCGATGGCCCTGCGGGTCTCATCCGAATCAGAGGTTTCATGAGACGACTTCAGCCGCCTGATGGCGGAGCGCAGGGCGGGGATGGAGGTGGCCAGAACCGCCTGGACGTCGGCATTGATGCCTGGAGAGACCGCTTTGGGTTCGGAGCCGGAGCCGGAGCCGGATCCAGATCCGCTCCTTCCTCTCTGCAGCCGGCTGACATATTCCGGGACCGTCAGTCGTTCCGAGCTGAACATGATGGAGAAACGTCGGTAGAGTCTCCACAGGAAAAGCGTCAGAGACAAGAGCATCAACCGGCAGAAACGCGTCACTCCCCGTTAATGCTGAAATGTGTTTGTTTACAAAGGCCTCAGTGATCTCCAGCCTGCTGCCTAGAGACGCATTAATCAAGGCCTCAGTTGTGAATCAAAAGTGACAGCTTTCACCAAATTGCATCACCCCTCTCTCTCTCTCTCTTGATGTCATCCGTGGCAGTAAGCCCATAAAGACTCGTAAGCAGATCTTGAGCAGGTCACAGTATGTCTGCGCATAGTCAACCGCTGCTGCTTTGTCTCTGCTGTCCCACCGGCCAATACATGACTTCATGCATTCACACTGTCTGTTTGCAGAAGTGTCCTTAAAGAGGCGAAACCTCAGCACACTGGACCTGGAACTGAGAGAGTATAGAGCAGATCCTGCTGGTTTTCTGGAGAAGAAACGGACTATTGTTGTCTGTAACAAAGAGGACCTGCTTTGTTTTTTTATACCATTTTTTCTCCCACCTTATCTGACGCACTCTAGCGGCTCGTCTCGCTGCAGAAATACAAAACAAGATACGTCACTCCAGTAGCAGCCCCCAAACCTATCGCATCCTTCGGTCAGCATCCGCAGGCTGTCTGTGTCTGCACGGGTCCGGATACTGCCGGTGATGAACAGGAAAATAACACCCCTCCTCCCCCTCCTCCCCCTCCTCCTCCTCCGCCCTGCATCACAGCCGGTCGGAGCGTGCTCTGTCAGCCCATGGATGTCTGTAAACACTGCAGGCCCTCTGCTGGACGAAGAGGGGAACAACTTCTGAGCTACACTATAATTGTTTCTGGTAGCTCTACTCTACATTAGCCTTTGTAATTGTTTTATTAAGAGGAATTAAATACATGTCATTAAGAGACAGGAGAGAAAATGCTCATAAGATAGTATCAAATTTAAAAAATAAAATGTGTCTGCATCAAGATATCTAGGCAAACATCACACATTTTGTGAATGTGAAATGTAGAAGATCCTATTGTATTGGTGTTAATGGAGAAATAGAGGGCATTGTGAAAATGTCAGTGGATCCATATTTTATTTGATTTATCTTTTTAGTTGTAATGACTCATGCAATAATGGATACAAATAATGAACATTGCAGCTTTGACGGATTACTTGTGATTGTGATTTTTAAGGTGATCTGTCCACAAAGTCATCAGTGTTCCTATGAAAAAAAAGTCATTGTGATAAATAAAACTGCTTAAACTTTACACACACACAAGTGCACGTATACACATGAAGATAAAGGTGTCTACTTTGTTACGCTTTTCTTCTGCAGTTTTAAAAACTGCTTTATGGGACGACACAGCAGGCCAGTACTTTGCTCCTCTCTGTCTTCACTGAGGCCTCACAATGGCACCAGGTGACAAGATACGTTCAGGTCTAGTCTGGTCCTGAAAGCGGTCAGGCCTAATAGATAAGACAGCACACGGTTGTTGCATTCGTGCTGCAACTAACGATTATTTTATTGTTTATTGTGTTCTCGATTAAGCGTTCAGTTGTTGGTCTATAAAATGGGGGGAAATGTTGATCACTGTTTCCCAAAGCCCAAGATGACGTCTTCAAATGTCTTGTTTTGTCAAAATCTTAAAGATATTCAGTTTACTGTCACAAAAGAGGAAATAAAGCAAAACATATTCACATGTAAGAAGCTGGAATCAGAGAATTTTGATTAATTTAGTAGTTGACGACTAATCGATTAATTGCTACAGTTCATGTTGCATTACTCAAACTGCTGAGAGCAAAATCACTGCTCTGTGATAAATGACCCAAATCAACCCGGTCAGAGGTCAACAGGCTTAAACTTTTGTTTCCTATCGACCTCTTTCTCCCTGTGTGTCTCTGTTTATTTGCTCGAGTAGAAAGAGTTTTGCAAATAAGGTTAAAGTAAACAAGGAAGCGGGGTGACTGACACATGTTTCCAATGATTGCGAGCACACGACCCGTCATTACTTTTTCATTCTGTCCTCTCACACAGCAGAGGCAACATGAGGCTGTGGGCCGTCCTGCTGCTCGCTCTGCTCGCTCAAACCTTTGCTGTAGAAGGTAAGTACAACATTAAAAATCACTTTTAAAGTTCAGAGAAGTATTTGTAGCGAGCAAATAGAGGAGTGTTGCTGGTTGTTGTTCATCCTTTAGTATTATCAGTTTACAGTAAGACATGAAAATGGGTCTACTCTGTGTGTCAAATGTACTGTGTCCTGCTTACTACATAAAGCAATTAACATTTAACAAAACAATTATTCATTTTATTTTAAATGTATTTAACCAATCGGAGGGATCAACTTTGGGTGCCCTATCTACACAAGTAGACAATGGTTTCCGCCAGGACTGCTGCCAACAATTATATTAATAATAACTTAATCTGATTTTAACAGTTAATCAATTCATTGTTTAGTTTATAAAATGCTAGCAAATAGTTAGAAAATACTGCATCACAAATGGCCAGAACCCAAAGTGATGTCTTCAAATGGCTTGTTGTGTCTCACCAGCAGTCCACAAATCTACATTTATTCAAATTTAAAATGATCAAATTGTGAAAAGCAGCAATTATCACATTTATTGCCTTTTTTTTTTATTAATGACTTACAAAATGAAGCCAGTATCAAAATAGTATAATCTGTTAATCAATTAAGTATTTTTTTCAGCACTAATTACAATTATGAATACAAACGGGGTACGATAGGCAGGCATTACTATACAAAGACAGTTATAAAGAATTGTTATTAATGATGAAGAACCACATATCCCATGAGCCTTTGCCATGGGCATACTGTCAAAGCATACATTTAACTTTGTTGTTCAAAGGAGTAAATTCATGTGGTCAGAGGTGCAAAGAATACACAAATAAAACAACAGAGCCAATCAAGTTCTCATTCTCTCTTGTCATTTCATCTTCAGAGTCCTGTATGGGACGCTGTGAGAATGGCTTTAACTCTCAGAAGAAGTGCCAGTGTGACTCGATGTGCAAGTATTACAAGAGCTGCTGCTCTGACTTTGAGGTCACCTGCGGCATGACGAGTAAGAAACCTCTCTGCTCATAATAACGTTGCCAAACAGTCAAAATGGTGCAGGGAAAGATGGTCGCTGATATCACTTTTCTCCCTCAGCTCGCGGAGACACGTTTGTGTTTGCAGAGGACGATGATGGTGAGCTGTTTGAAGGTACCCCTCCAACGCCTAGACGTTCAGCACACGACCAGTCTTTCACTGTTATCAGTCATCAGCTGAAGCCAACACAGCAGCCCATATCAGACTTTGGTCGCACACCACAGCAACATCCAGAAACAGCACTGGAAATGAACAAACCCCCTCACCTGATAGAAACCATACTTCAGAAAACCCCTGTTACACCGAAAACATCCATTTCACAGCCAGTCGAACCTCCACAGATGGTCCCCAGCACAACTAGACCTTCTGCGACTGATGCAGCAGCTGAGACGACCACTGTTCCCGTCACAACATCCGCCTCCACTGAAGCCCCCGACCCGGACTCTGTGGTCTGCAGTGGGAGGCCTTTTCACTCCTTCATGCGACAAAAAAATGGCTCCATATTTGCCTTCAGAGGTGAGTGATCCCCTCATATTCAAATGTGGTAATCTGACATTTGATCAAAGAGCCAAACGTGAAGTATACAATTTTGTGTTATGGTGGAACATGCCTATGAACCTCTGTGTTTTTTTTCTAGGGGAGTACTTTTTTGAAATGGACCAGAAGTCAGTGCTTCCTGGTTATCCAAAGCTCATAAAGGACGTGTGGGGCATCAGCGGGCCAATTGATGCGGCCTTCACCCGCGTCAACTGTCACGGGAAGACTTATATCTTCAAGGTGGGAACGCGGGAAATTGTTTTGTTTTCATAAATGTTAGAAATATTCACGCGAGACTGGTGTAAAAATCATCAATCATTGGACATTTATTCTTCGCAAAGAAGGAGACAGGGTTGATTCACATACAGAATGTACATCAAGACCGCTCGAAGATCTGTCTCCGAGTCTCTGGTATTTATACTAAGTAAACAACATGCAGTGGGCTGGGACAGGGTAACACACACACACATTTTGCGTTTCACACAGGCGTCTACGTATCTGGACATTTTAACAATTCGTTCCAGTACAAAGGTCACTTTCTCGTAAATCATGGTCGCAAATCAGCCCTGCGTAAGTATTGACGCTTTCTACAAGATTATTATCATTGTTATTCAGGACAAACAGCTGAAATGTTCTTTCGGCAATCAACTGCTTCTTAATAGACTAAACATTTGCTGAGACACCTAGTGTCAGTGAAAGTTCACACAAGGACACAGGCCTTAAACACTACAGAGGACATGAGCTTCTGTTAAATGTGTAACATTCCTTAATCATTTAAACGCATACTAATTAGTCATTTCGATTTTTCCAAACAATAAATCATGTGTCACACCCCTGTATTAATAACAAGTTAATGTTGAAACAAACCTTCAATAGGGAAAGAAGTACTGGAGGTTTGATGACGGCGTGCTGGATGATGACTATCCTCGAGATATCAGCGTGGGCTTTGACAAAATTCCCGATCATGTGGATGCAGCGTTTGCTCTTCCTGCTCCTGGTCACAATGGAAAAGAGAAGGTCTATTTTTTCAAAGGTACAGCCAGACATTACACATAATATCCAGATGGTTGTACAGAATATTTTGGTGAACATGTGATAATGTACTTATCCTATACCTAACATAAAGTTACTTATTGTTGCTTTCTACAGGGGATCAGTATCACATGTACGAGTTTTTGCACCAGCCGTCCCATGAGGAGTGTATCACCATGTCGGTGAGGTCTCCGTCCACGCTGTTCAGGCGCCACACTGACCTATACTACAACAACTATGAACGTGTTCTCAGCGAGCTCTTCTCTGGCTGTGAGTTGTGGCATCATAGATTAATTGTACCTGTTTGAGGGTGGTGGCAGGTGTTGTACAGCTTAATGTTTTTCTAACATTCTTCAGTGCCCCAGCATCACGACAAACACCACTTCATTGACAAGGACTGGAAGGGCCTCAAGTCTCCAGTGGATGCCGTCATGGCCGGCAGAATGTACGTCCCTCCCTCGAGGTCCACAGGACGCCGCAACGACGACCGTCCTGACCAGCAGGGGGGTCAACAGCAGGGCCAGCAGTACCAGCAGTACGGACAGCAGTGGGACCAGCAGTATGGACAGCAGTGGGGTCGAAGGAGGCAAAGCCGCTCACCCTTCTGGGGGTCCACGGCTGAGCGGGGGATGAACATGGGCCAGGACTTTGCAGAAAGGGGGATGGAAATGGGTCTGAGGTTGGCAGAGAGGAGGATGGAGATAGAAGAGAGCTTCGGACGAGACTGGGACAGACGGTGGGATCAAGACCGGGACCAGGACAGACGGAGAGATGGTTACCGTCAGAACAACAGGGGCAACTATGACTCCAGAGACGGCAGGTCGTTGTGGGAGTCCATCCAGGGGAGTCTGCCCATACAGAGTGTCTACTTCTTTAGAGGAGGTAACACAGCAGTGTCATTTAGGTTGATAATAGTCATACAAAACAATTTAACAAAATAAATGCTCCCTTAATATGAATTGCTTTATTTAGGTTCAAGGGTGAGGTGGTCACGGGTAACCATTTAACCCCAGGAACAGGACTGATGAAAGAAGACCTTAGTGAAATGAGATACAGATGTCGAGAGCAGCTGGAGGGGCAGACAGGAACTCATTTTAACTAATTTTATTAAACTTTCCCCAGCTAGCCACAGAAGGCTTATTATACCTACTTTCACATGCTGTGTAATAGTCCACATGACAAAGAAACAGATGCCTAAAATCACTGCAGTTCTTCTGCATTTATGGCTGTCACCTTTAAGTGATATAGTGTACTGTTATCAAGTTTATGATTCACCAAAGAATCATAAACCACAGTGTTTCAAAGCATGCTGACACCGATGACAGGTCCAATGTGAAGTTGTTTTACTGACTGAGAGTGAGATCTTCTTCACACAACCTGACCATGAGCTGCTCCAGAGATATGAAATGAATGTTGTTTGTTGTTTCTGTGTTTTCCAGATAAATACTACAGAGTGGACCTCAGGACCAAGAGAGTTGACTTGGCCACGCCTCCATATCCCAGATCTATCGCCAAGTACTGGCTCAGCTGTCCAGACACCACTGGGGCAGAAAAGTAGTTTGATATATCAGGCATTGAAACAGGCAGTGCTGGCTGTTGAAAACCTGACACACTTGCTCTGTGTAACCCATAAACAACTGCTCATCAACTTTGGCAAATATTCATCAATCAAAGTCCACACACAGCTGCTCTCCACACAGTAGTTGACCTCAACATGGCCAAAGTTCAACTGGTCGATAAAGCTCATCTCGTCTCAACATCAGCTGACCTACTAAATTAAACACAACTATAATGACAATAAGCTCATTGGAGTAAGCCGAGAAGAGATTGCAAATTGAATTTAAAGGCCACATTTTGATATATATATATACTTCAAAATGTTTATTTTCTCCTTCTTAATCATAAGGATATACAGTGAAAAACAAAATATAGCACAGGGCTTACAAGAGTTCATCCATCAAAGGGTCATAAACATTTGGCACATGGTTGTACAGATATATGTAATAAAAATGAAAAAAATCCCTATATTGCAACAGGGAGGGTTTTACTCAACAGCAGCATCATGTGACTGTCAGAGAGCAGTGACAGACGGGACTTTGACCGTAGGTTGTAGATGTAAAAAGATTCTTACAATTCCAGTTTAAGTAGCAGAGAGCAAAGTATAATACTACTGTAATACATACAGATGTTTACACGATGTACTGTGTTACTGAGTGAGTCCCTTTTGATTGCATATTCACAACCTGTTACAGTCTGTCTTACATGTATTTGCATCCATGATAAATAAAAACAACAGTCATCAAGAACACAGTTCATGATCTTTTAAGACTACTCTGATATTTTTGCCGCTGTTTGCTCTTGTCTTCCTCGTACAACACGGATGTTTTATTGTGTGTTTATCCGTTATCTGAGTCAAGAAGCAGACACTCGCCCAGATATTACAGTACTTGTATGTATACAGTTACAATACAACATGGAGAAATCAAAAACACTTATCACACAATTGTCCCTAATAATCGTGTTGATATACAATTTAAGACACCGAACGCAACCAGTGGCATTGTTAGGAAAAGTTACCAAAATACCTCACCTGATATTCTGTTGCTTCTGTTTCATTCATATTTCAATCTAAAATATAAATGTCATGTGTTTTGGTTTTTTAAACACAAATGCTGCATGAATATCAATATGCAGCTGTACCTGTACATTGTGTAACAGATAACAACTTAATAATTCAAGAGTTTCCTTTGTGCCTGTAACTTTAAAACTGCAGAGTAATAAATATGCAGTTGCGTTTGACTCAGACCTGCTGACGTGTTCTTTCTCAGAGGTTATGAGAGTTTAATGATGACATTTTCATAGCAGGGTTCATCATTCACACCGACCACTGCTCCTTCATTGGCGATGATCTCAGTGAGACTCACAGCGTCTCCTGCTGGTCCCACAGTCAGGTAGGTGCCCTCAGTTTTTCCTGTACTAGGACCACAACTCTCAGCCCTCAGATCTGACCCTGAGACAGATGAAACCACCTCTGGCACGCTCGTCAACAAGGACGACAGAGGCCTTTTTGGAGTGCCGCTCTCTGATGATGGAGTGTCATTAGCACCAGCTGTGTCAGCGGAGTTGAGAGCAGCATGCTTTCTCCTGATTGGCTTACATATGCCCACCTCCCCTCCAGGTGGGCCTCCCTCCTCCCACACGCTTGCCCGAGTTCCGAGCTTCCTCCTTGGTGGTTTGGTGATCCCTTCAACTCCTTTGGGCTTGGCCTTGCCAGACTCCTGCTCCCTTTGTCTCTGGAGGCTTCCGAGTCGCCGCAGCATGGCTTGAACTGGGCCTTCAGAGCTTGTCTCCGTCTTTGACGCGGGCTTACCTGCCCTATCCACCGTCACATACAGGGTGGTGACTTTATTTAAGACCCCCACCTGAGCATCAGATGTCGGCAGCTGGCTACATTTATGAGCAACTGTGTTGGACATAGTTCGCCTTCGTCCTAATGCCCCAGGGACATGCAGGGTGGCCTTGAAAGGGGTTCTGCCTACTTCCTGGTCCCCTGCCTCACAGCTGGAATCCTGATTGTCTGTCGCCTGCACATCGACTTCATCTTCCCCCTCCTCGCTCTCAGCTTCATCTTCCTCCCCAGTTCTAGCTGCACTCCCCTGACTTTGGAGGGCAGACAGCATCAGAACCCCCCAAGGTAACTTGGGTTTGTTGCGTGGGTGTCCAGGGAGAGCTCCAGGGTCCTGAGCCGAGCCACGCCTCTCCTTGGGGCTGAAGCGGGTTCCCTCTGCAAAAGAGACAGAAGGCCGCTTGGACTTGGCGATGCTGGAGGTGCGAGGGATGTTGAAGGGCGAGGTGATGTCCTCACAGCTAAAGCCGCATGGGTCTAAGAACATGTTACACTTCGAGCTCATCTCGTGGAACTCGCCGCCCGCAAGCGCCATGATGTCTGCCAAAGAGACGGAGACAGAAAAGTCCAGAGACATTAGAAGACATGGACGGGGAAGTTTGAAGTGGCAGTTCTGCTTATCTCTGAAAGAGGGCAATGCAAGTCTGGTTCATCCCTAATCCTACCTTCTCTTGGAGGGACACAGTAGAGCACCTCTTCCTCCTCCTCATCACTGTCGAAGGACGACCCCTCAGTCACCCATCCAGAGGAAGGAGGCTCAATGAAGCTGTGGTTGAACGTCAGCTCTGGGTCATGGTGAGACACTGTGGGTGTGTATGTGTGACATGAAAAATAGATGAATTATAAAACATGCTAGTCAATTCGATACAAGGCTTATTCTCTATTAAAACTTTTTCTTATTTTGCACTAATTTTGTGTATTCAGGTTAATGTAAATGTCTCTCCAGGTTGTGAAACATGTTTTTGTGCTAAGTTTTAGCTCCATTGACCTTCATTAACACTGAAGAAATTTCTCCTTCAAATATTTTACCAATCTGAACAAAGATGGATGATACATTTCTTATCATTCCTCCAGAAAGTAAAAGTTGAATAGCACTCAAATATGTCGTAGTACGTGTAAATAAAGCTGAAAAAATATCATGTTGTCATGTTGTCTTTGCATATATATGCAACTTTTGTCATTGAAGAGTTTGTACACAATCCATGAATTACAATGTATCATTATATTATGCAGCATTCTCCGAGAAATATTGTGCTGCAGGACTGACCAGTGACACGAGGGAGGCCAGAGGACCAATCAGAGATGCAGGGCAGGGCAGCACCGATGTTAGCCAGGACGCTGTAAACGTGATATTTCATCCGAACTGACCAGCCTCCATCGGCCACAGCCGCCCTGGAAGACAGAAGGTTCATATTGTACGAATTTCACACTTTTGCACAGTGCCTCAGTTGAATTTGTGTTGATTGTAAAGTTGAATGTCAGTAAATTAAATCCATGGTACTGAATGTCTTTCCACCATTCAAAATGTCATGATAATATCACAATTGCGGAAGAATTATTAAGTTCATACTTCCAGATTCTGAGTGTTGTTACATAAATAAGTCTGTTCTTTTCTGAAGTTGTAGCGGGAAAAGCTTTCTGCTAGTCGTGGCTCAAAATCCAAGTGACATATAGAAGTTGGTAATGTTTGGCATTCTATGAAATGCTTATACAGTTTGGTTAGTGGGCCTAATACTGGTAGATGGAAGTGAGAGACAGACCTGTCTTTGCCATCGACAGGACCTCCTCCACAACACAAACAGCAGCAGAGCACAGCAAGGAGCAACAGGAGCAAAGGAACGAGCACACCTGCTAGTACAGCAGCTCTGGCACCTAATATAGGCACACACAAACACATCAAGAAACATTTGATGCCCTGAATAGCATACACAGATACTATTGGATGGATGGATGGACGTACTGTTGGGACAGACACCAGTGACTGGGTCGCAGCTGTCCCCCTCACTACAGTCACAGGCGGAGGAACAGTTGAGGCCAAACTGCAGGGCGGGGCAGCTGCTGTTACAGCTGGGGGAAAAAACAGTCATGCAATTATATCACGACAGCAAAGGAAATATCCTGTGTATGAACACTGAATCTATTTTAGTGTACAGTGAAAATATACTGCATGAATAACATTGTGAAAAAATTAAAGGGACCACAATGTTTTGCATGTTTGAACCTGCTACACAAATGTATCATACATGCTTCTAACCTTAAGAATAAAGGCCTTTTTTTCAATCTGCTGACACTGCACTTCACACTCACCTCTCTCCCTGAAAGCCTGGCTGACAGACACATCTTCCTGTCACGTGATGGCAGTCACCATGAAAACAAGGGCCACACAGGGAGCTGCAGGCGTCTCCAAACGTCCTGTTAGAGCAGGCCGCCTCACACCTGGCGACAGGGAGCCATGACCAAGTACACAAAGAATAAGTTCACAATGAATTACAATCCTAAACCTTAATACCACGTGTCTAAAAAACAACTGATTTACCCTCTTTTGTTGATATTGCCCTACACATATAAGCACTTATGGACATTGCAGACAGAATAAAATTACTTGTCTTTCCATCTTCATCACACACTCAATTTTACAGTCCATATTAAGTACACATTGTAACGCTGGCTACTTTAGAAACGTGAAGACGCAAGCAAAGACAAGATCAAGGAGCAGTTTCCCGCAGACTTAATCACCAAAGACTACAAAAATCATACCATTATTTTTGCATGTAGAACACATTAACTATGAACTGCATTAATATAATGTTACAGCCAATTTTTTCAATGGCATACCGTACATTTTGAAAAACCAAACAATGATCCGTTACCCTTCCCCGTGACTTCACTACAACGCGATCAAAAGGGCTCGTGTATGCCTAAAACACGCATGCACACCTGGATCCAGTCCATCCTGGGTCACACCTCCAACATTTCCCAGTTTTTGGGTCACAGGGCTCGTTATTCCTGCAGCGTGGACACTTCTCCTGGCAGCCGTCCCCATAAGAACCAGACGGGCACGGGCGGTCGCATCGTGTGCCGTTCCAGCCGGATTCACAGGCATCACAGGAGCCATCGGTGTCAGAGCAGAGCTGGTTGTCTTTACAGAAACCACAGCTGAGGACAGGAGACAAAAAACAGAGAATAACACACAGGTATTTAAACAAACAAATGTATCTACTGACACCCACCTCATTTTACAACCACTGCCGTACTTCCCAGCTTCACAGGGCTCGTTGCATACGACCCCCTGGTACCCCGGGTGGCACAGGCACTGCCCATTGGCCGGGTCACAGCTGCTGTGTGTGAGGTCACATTCACATCGCCGGTCACAGCTGGGTCCCCACCAGCTTGCCTCGCACTCACACATACCGGTACGCTGGTTACATTGCGACAGGTAGCAGTTGCAAGTGACGGGACATCTGAGCCCCCAGTGGCCCCTGTGGCACTGACACCGGCCCGTTAGCTGGTCGCAGCCTGGGCCCGCAGCTCCCCCGCTGATGCACTGACACGGCTTGGAGCAGGTTGACGTCCACCAGCCCTCGTCGCAGGTGCAGTTTCCGTGGACTGGGTGGCAGTGGCCGTGGCGGGTGCACTTGCAGGCGTACTGGCACAGTGGACCCCAGCGATTGGAGTTGCAGGTGCATTCACCAGTGACGGGGTCACAGCGGCCGTGTGGGTAACACTGACACACCTGGCGACAGTCTGGAGCCCAGAGCTCGGTAGGACAGCCTGGTAACAAACAAACAAACACAGAGAATACTTATTAAAAATAAAACACTAATGTTGTACAAAACAACCAATTTATAGTGGTGGAATGTAACTAAGTACATTTACTCGAGCACTGTACTTCAGTATAATTCTGAGGTACTTGGGTTTAAAGTGAGTTTTTCCATTTATGATAGTACTTCTACTCCATTTCAATTTTGAAAGAAATATTGTACTTTTTACTCTTAATGATAAGACATATACTTTCACTGAACTTTTGCTTGTAAAGGAGTATTAAAGCATAGTGCATATGCATTGTATGTTGTGTTGGTAATTTTACGAAAGTTAAATATCTGAATACTTCTTCTAACACAGGTTATTAAAACTTTCAATTCAGGAGAAACATTTACTGGTTTATTATGTAATTTCACAAAGAAATGCATTATTAGTATCAACTTAAGTGACCATCATTTTTACACAATAAAACAGAAATATTTAGTGCATTATAAATCAAACAGACAAAACAGACATGTCAGTGAATTGATGCTAAATATCGCCTGTTGTTTAATGTAACTCACGTGTTTTACAGTGAGCTCCGTAGAAACCAGGTGGACAGCGACACACTCCAGGATACACACAGATCTCACCCTTCAGGCAGGCCTGCTCACTTTCACACACAGCTACACACACACACACACACACACACACACACACACACACACACAAACACCAGTGAATGAAACAACAGGAAAAGCAAAACAAATATGGAGGCAGTGAAAGCATAATGCTTCTGTCCATTAGAGTATTTAAACTCACGTATGGTGCACTCTTTTCCATCTTGACGCCATCCAGTGCAACAGACCAAGGTTGAAGGGTTCCTAAATACACAGAAAATAATCAAATTAGCCTGACAAATCTCAAAATAGCTGAAGAAATAACTTAAAAGGAGAAGAAGACAAAAAAAATGATTATCTGTATTCAGACTGAGGAGCTGTCCAGCACAGTCCGAAACTCCGTAGAGCTCTTTGAGAAAAACCTTGGCTAAAAGGAGCTACAGTTTGTCACCAGAAGAGAATTAACATTTTGATTTGTTTTTTCAGGTGTGTTAAAATCAAAACAGTAAAACGGTGTGAGTGAAGGTAAAGTTGTACCTGATATTGTGGCAGACGTTCCTCCCAGTAGGATCCAGTGTTTGTGAGGAGGACAGCGAGCAGCAGAGCAGAGCACTCAGAGCTCTGAGGAGAAACTTCATCTCCACACAAAGTCCGAAACCAAAACCCAACGACCAAATATCTTTCTGTCTCACGTCTTTGTGTCCAGTCTGTTCCCGACTTCGTTCTCTCCTCTCAACTTGTTCTCCTTCCAGTCAGAGGGAGCACAATGAGAGGGAGTATCTCTCTTTCTGTCTACCATCCACCCTTCCCTCCTGCTTTCTCTCTAGTGTGTCATCTTGTGGCTCCACTGCAGCCAGAGAGGTCGAAGCCCCCGGGTTTCCTCTTCACATTTCCTGGGGAAGTCAGAGCCACTTCCTTCTATTCAACCAGACACAGAGCTTTTTAAAGATGGTTGAACACTAACACACAAAACTCGCCGCACACACTGGTGGGACTCGCACAAACGCAAACACACACCCCTGATGTTCACCTTTTCCCCAGAATCTATTGTTGACATTCTTCCAGGACATGATGAACGCCTTCGCCCTCCTTATAAGTCTTGAAAGTCAGTACAAAGATGGTCACGTAATCACTTTGAGCTCCTGCTTTCATTCAATAGCAGCAACATTTGGTGCACAATGCCATTTTTTAAATCTGGTCTTGTCTATTTGTTCTTGAATCGTGGGGAAAAAATGCATTAAGATCATTTCTATTTTCAATAAAATTCTGTGTTTAATGGATTTTATTGAAGCTTCAAATCTCAACATCGCAGAAAATCCACATTTTTAATAGTTTTTATCACATTTCATCAATAAAAATTACTCATATGGCAATTGACATCTTAAATCTGTTTTGTCAGAAAAAACGTGCTTACAAAAATAAACTGTGAACACAGTATTTTAGGAAAACATGCTCCGATTGGAAGGTCATACATTGTCTCAACAAATACCCCACAGGTCTGTCATTGTCTGAGTAGCGTTATAATCACACACTAAGGGTTCAGAGTATTGTATTTGGCGGCAACTAGCGGTGAGGTTGCACATTGCAACCAAATGAAACGTCTCCTGCGAGCCAAGATTGTAGGAGAACTACGTTGGCTGACACAAAAATGTGAATGGCCCTCTTTATAGCCAGTGTTTGGTTTGTCCATTCTGGGCTACTGTAGAAACATTGCAGCCGGCTCTGTGACGAGGAGCTGCTCATTTTAAGGTCTAAACACAAGTATTCTTATTTTCAGGTGATTATACACTAAAGAAAACATACTTGTGAATATTATATTCCATTTCTGCCAATAGATCCCCCAAAATAGTACTTTAAGAGGGAACAGAGTAAAGTAACCGATCTGCAGAGGCTGGTACCGTGCAGACAGAATACATGTGCTTACATACACATTTATGGCACCAGCATCAAACACACACCAACCAAAGGCGTTGACTCTCTGCAATGATGGAAAATTAAGAAAATATATTTTACAACAATACAAGCAGTAAATTAAGGCTCACTGGATTAAAATGCACTCACTGCTGGAAGAGACTGGTAATATGACGACAACTTTCTTTTTTTGTCCTTGAGCATAAAAGTGCTTCAAATCATAAAAAATACACGAGTCAACAAATGCCTTAAAAATACCCCGACTGAGGTAAAAGTGACTTGATATAATGGTGGTAAAATCTTGATCGTAATAAAATGACCAACAGGACAGAGGTGAACTTAACATACACACTGCTTCAATATAACTGGAGGGGAGAGTTTCATATACGTTTTGTAATGTCTTTGGTTTTTGGTAAAAATGTATATATAAATATGAGGATATATATAAATATATATGCGCAATAACCCATTTTTGTACTTTCCTCACAATGAAAAATACATCAAAAGACTGTTGTATTTATACTTGAATCATACATAGAAGTATCATTTGTGCGGTTAAAAAGTATCCCTCTTAGTAGTGTGGTACACCGTACTATATCTGCTGTATTACTAGTATACTATATGTACTTATTTATCACTTCTATGGAAAAATAAGGGGACAAACAGCAAGAGTGAAATTAACAAAAGGGGAAATGAAAGTAGCCTATTTATGACTGAAATAAAGCCCAAAAAAAAGTGTTCCATTCACTTTCTTTTCCCACACACTCACATAGTGCTTTTGTGTTTCACACACTGGTGCTGCGTTCAAATGTCCACGTGATTTTTTTCTCCCTGAACCACATTTTCTGTCTCAAGCTGAGGAAGAAGTCCTGACTGAGGGCAGAAGGGTGTCTCACAGCGAGAGGTCAGTACCCGGATCAGGGGGACGGTCCCAGCCCCGTCTCGTCGGCGGCCTCTGAGTCTCTGATGATCTCCCAAGTGGAGGCGGAGTTGCTCATGTGGGTGGGGCTCCGGCCGCTGCCCGACCGCGTCAGGAAGCCAAAGCTGCAGCCGAAAGAGTAGAAAAGACAGGCCTGAGGTCAGATCTGCTGTCAGGGATTACAGCTAAATATAGTCCTGGATTGACGGAGATCTCAGGGCAGTGACAGCGTCAGCAGAGAGAGAGAGATGAAAAAAATGCCTAAATCACAGACAATGTCTGCTGTGTTGTTGCTCTTGCTTTGCATTTAATGATGGTTGCAATGCAAAGTGCTTCAGTTGTCAGCAATTAATGTATCATTCTTCTTAATAAATGCTCTCTACTTGTTTCTCTTGGGAGACTCTGGGGTGAAATTTTTTTTTTTTTATGTTTCTTTTTTAATTTCAGATCATCTGAAGCCCAAGTGACCATGCAAAATGCAAAACATATATATTAGACTGATTGTGTAAATAAGATTTCCATGCCTGCAAGTTAAACCCTGTAGTCCTTATTCTTCATTAGTTCAAGCGGGTTAACATCCTCTATCTTAATATATGCACATTTCTGAGAAAACAGACTTAATCTAAGGGTAATAACAATCTATCAAAGAAATCTATTTTGTTGATTTTCTGTAATACTATGCGGTAAGTGAACTCTAAATTGTGTTTTAGCGTTAACATATTAATGAAATAAAACACCGTAAGAACTTAAATTAGTCCGAAGAAAGGCATCATGCTTCAGTTGGTAAAGAGTCTTAAAATGAAGACAGTTCACATCCATCTGAGAACTTTGGTCACATGTCTGACGTTTCTCCTTCTCCCTCCCATGCCTCAAGCAAACAACATGAAGATAATCCTCCGTGTCAAAGGTACACATTTACTGGATAAATGAAAACATATCCACTGAACCACGTAATGAGGGGCTCTTCTTTGGACACATTACTCTTAGAGAAGCACACTGTATGCACATCATGTGTGTTTTGGTCATTTTTCCTTTGCTTAATTTAACCCTGTAAAGCCAATGCGTGCAGGGAAACCAACTTCTCTCAAAGCAAAAACATAAGCAGCGACAGATGCTGTTATCGACACATCGTCTCTGATATTTTGCAGACCAGCACTGTGGTGTCCTGAAGTCTGAGCGGTGTAACAGTGTAACATTATAGGGTCGAAGTTGTACTTACAGGTTTCGAATGCGTGACTCAGCTGGTTTGTCAGTCCCGTCCACTTCAGAGCCATCTACTTCTGTCTGCCTGAACAGAGAACACCTCTCCTCCTCGTCACTGAAGAAGAAGAAGAAGAAAGAAACAAACAGTGATAAAAACCCTTCTGTTGTGAACATATTTCTACACTGGCCCATTATTTCTGGATGTGATGTGATGAGTGTTTTTAAGAGAGACCTGCTGCTGGAGTCGTTTGCACCAAAGCCAAGCATCTTTGCCTTAATGAGCTTTCTCCTTTTCTTAATGGCAGAGCGGACGGCTTCTAACAGGAAACCTGGACACCTCTCTTCATTCAGGATCTCCCTGCAGAAACACACAATCATTTTCATTTAAACATAAAAAATGGCAAAACATGACATGTCCACACACACACACACACACACACACACACACACACACACACACACACACACACACACACACACACACAGCAGACCCACCTCTGATAGTAGTTGAGCTCCTCCTGCACCAGGAAGAGGTTGGTTTTGAGCTCGTTCCTCTCAAAAATGATGTCACGCACCTCCTTCTTGGTGAAGCACGGCTGATCGGGATCCTTCTGGTCAACTAACGTCTTTTTCTTGGACTCGCGAGCGGTTTGACTCGACTTGGACTGATGGGAGAAGAGGTCATGAGGTCATGCTGACTACAAAACTACTTCAAACTACAGTCAACTACAAACTGTCAAGTCTTGAGCTCGGAGGAAAGACATGTTTTTTTCCGATTGGAGTAAGATTGAAAGCAGCTAGTATCTCCGCCAGGAAGATCATGCGTTCGGCATATATGTGTGTGTGTGTGACGGAAAATGAGTGTGCACCTCTGTGTCTGTCCAAGTCTAATCTTGTAGTCGACTGCAGCAAACTGCATTATATTTTGGGTGCCAAGTTTCTCGTGGTTGCGGTAAATCACACTTTCTAAAAAACATGTTTTATTACTGCCTGCTTACTCCTCACTCACTACTCTAAACCGGTCACTGGCCGGTAGGGGGTGCTTGTGATAACGACCCCCCCCCCAGACGCTACTCTGCACCCAGAGACAAAGTGAGGGGAAAAACAGTTTGCACACTGTGATTGTTTTCGGACGATGTGTTTGGCTTACAGCTAACAGCTAATGGAACTACCAGTACACACACTGCCACCACTCAGCCACAGACAACGTGGTGAGGTTAGTTTGGTTTTTGGCAAGATTGTATGAAGTGACTTATAGGACGGCTTTGAGCCGACTGCCTGCATTCCTTGTTGCTTGTTTTAGAGTTAAGAGGGTGTAGTTTGTAGTTTGATCAGTAGTACCATTGTTTTTTTATTTACCTTTTTAAATCTTCAGCTCTTTTCCAGTACAATTAAGAATGAGTGAAGCATCAGAATTAGTTAATTGTCCAGATCCATTTTGACTTGAAGTTGAGGGATTTTTAATAAAATGTGAATGCATCTCTGAATTCGAGAAGCAAACACACTTTAATACACGTGAGAAGTATTATATTTTTTTCTTTACATGAAATAAAGGACCCATGAATGAAGGGTTTAAGAGTCACGCATACAGGGCTGTCGCTGTTGCTTTTGTCCAGCTGTGTTTGGAGGTTTTCTATCTCTTTGCTTTTCTCCTTCAGGTCGGCCTCCATGTCGGCCTTCCTCTCCACGGTGCTCTTCAGCTGGGCCTGCAGCACGTTCTGCTTGTGTCGCAGCTCCGCGTTCATCTTCATGAAGCGCTCCAACTGCTCCTGGAGCTGCACACACACACACACACACAGATAAACTACTTTTAATCATGAGCAGCAGCAAGTTGACGAACTAAACAGGTTAAAAGACAAACAAATAGTTTCCATATTTCCCACCAGGTATAAATGTAGTTTAACTCGAAGGTAACAAGCCAGGGCTGAACCAAAAAGACAATCTATCTGCAGTGGGTCAAAATGTCTCCATGCGTGTGATTTGGACCAAAAGTCTGGGGGACGGCGAGGACAAGGAATGAAACCATACAAGTGTAGCATTCATTTTAAGGATGAAAAGAAATTCTAGGCATTCCATTGAGCAAACAGAGAAACTAGTTCAGTTGACCATGAGCTGGTTTTTTTTTTTCAGATGTGAGTCAACTGACTGGGAGCAACACACACCCAGTTATGGCTGCTATTTAAATCACGTGATATACGTGCCTTAACACAGAACCATGTGCAAACACTCACACCCACACACACACACTGTGGCTGTGTGTGTGTGTGTGTGTAGGTGAAAACTCTGCCCAGACTTGTGTTGAGTGCAGCTTAATCCTCAGCGGGTAACTATGCAGATAATCTGCACACTCTTCCCTCTTCCCCTGACACACTCCTTGTCTTCTAGCGTGTTCATTGGTGGTGTTTACATGATGTCGCTTCTCTTTTGATGCTACATGTGTTACACAGCTATGTAATTATGTAAACATTCTTGTTTCTATGAAGAAACCGACCTTTGTAGCCACAGCCATACATATTATAAAAGTGTGTCCAAATCTTATCGGTGTCATGCGCGTAAAGACAACAGCTTTCTTTCTACTTTTATCTTCAGGCTAGAAACCAAGTGAATGCCAGCCGCCATCAGCTGTTTCATCAATTAAATGTAAAAAATGAGTTGCGAGCTGCTGTGCGTGAATGTGTTCATACGTGGAAGCATCGTCGTAAACGTTAGTGTTTGTCTCTCCTTACCGCCTCTGCCTCTTTGGAAATGGTGGTTATCTCCTGGGCTTTTGCCCTCAGCTCATCTCTCTGCTTGTCCACCACCTCCTTCAGCTTCAGCATCACCTCTCGCTCCTGCCGCTGGGTCCGGTCTGCTCACATAAACACACAAACAAAGAGGGTCAGGTAAATAACAGTGGCCCTAAATTCACATCCTTTTTGGGAAGCCTTTTTTTTACACTGACTGCTGGCTACAATTCTTGTTATAAATTTAGAGTAAAGATCATCAATTGATGACAAAAGTCAGGATTGGAAAGGGTAGGGTTATGTTGTTACATTATGTAGTTCATTGATGGTTAATAAAGCCTCTTTACTGATCTGTAGAGTTGTGTAATAAACTAATCGTGGGAAATGTGAAAAGTAGAGTGAAGACTGCATACTGGGTATGAAAATATACAATAAAGCTACTTTGATTCCAGCCATACCATTCATGGCAAGATGTTTTTTGTTTGTTTTATTATTTGGGTTAACTGACTCTTTAGACATACTGGCGCTGCAGCGTCTTTTAAACCAGATATTGTCGTCCCTTAACACTAAAATCTTGTACATAAACTTAAATAATCGACGGCACATTTGAACTTCAAGTCAGCCGAGTGAAGCAGCCGTCACATTCATAACGTAAAATGAAGGATCACGTTCAACTGCCACATGGTCAAATAAATCATTAATTAAGACATCGTGATTTTCCTGTCAGTACAAGAAAACAAGAGTCAGCAAAGTGACTCCACCTTCTGGCTCACATTACTGAGAAGAGGTAGGCCTAATTAAATCTTTTCTGTTTCACATTGTTAACTGTCAAAACAAAATGTATTAAGTAGCTGTCAAATGTAAATGATGTGAACCAACAAGTTATTACTCAGCCAGTTAGCGTGATTGTGATTAAAGAAAAAACATTATGATAACACCACTGTGCCAATTTTGAATCCTATGATTTAATGTTTTTTTATGTTTTTATGTAAGCACAGCGCTCTTCTGAGTCCTCTCCTGCCTGTGACAACTGCTGATGCTTCACCTCACAAAATAACTTCACTATAAACACAGCAACGACCAGTTTGACGACTTTCAGCCTCAGTGCATATGACTGTTAACCCACTGCTTTGAATCTGCACACAGTGCACAGTCACTGGTGGGGAAGTAGGCCTAGTACTCGTGGAAAGTACAGTTACTACATTTGCATACTGGAGTAGAAAAACTACGCAGTCAAATGGCCCCAAAGTGGATTTGTTTAGAGAAGAGCTCATGGCAACCCTGGATGAGTCTGTGCACTCTAGGGATCATCAGGGCACTCGCACCAGATTCAGATCCAATTCTCAAGCAATGAGGTATAAAGAATGCTAGATTGTTTATGTGATATCCACAGTTATTTGTTTTGCGTTATCTTTTGTAACCCACACTGAGTATTGAGAGCCATCCTAAAAACACCCACGGCTTCACCATTTCCAGTTTTGATCGTCCACTCAACTCTCACAGGTGTAAGAAATTCCCATGATTCCCTCAGGCTTTATGAGATGTTAATGTGCACCTCCATTTTTAGGGTGAGACTTAAACTGTCATGTGTGTATACAAACAATAGGTAGCATGGATGATGTATTTTGGAGCTGATTTGGGAAATAATTTACCCAAATGCCCAGTTTCCAAGCTTATTTAACATTTAACATTACAACCCTGGGACCTATACCTTCCTCTGCATGGCTGCCCTTCAGTCTGCTCTGCAGCTCCTCTTTATCCTCCTGGAGCAGCTGAACCTGGGCCTCCAGCTCCTCACACCTCCGTCTCCACTGCTGCTCCTTCTGCTGCAGCTCCTGCTCGAGAGGATGGAAGACAAACTGTAAAACCATAACCTCAGAGATGTGATACTAAACTTTCACCAAAAAAAAAAAAAAAAAAAAGACCTGATGTAATTGCCCTCTGTGCCGTTAAAATCTCATGAACATGTAAATATTTGGCTTCAGCAAAATAAGTTTTGTCCAAGCGGGTGTGTCAGTTTGTTAAGTGAATACAGATGTTTTTGTTTAAATGATTCCAACAACCACACCTCTTCATTCGCTTTCTGAGTAACGATTATAACCCTGTCTGTCATGCACCGACAACACGGATTCAAGTTTATAGAGTCAGACATGCAGAGGATGAATCAGCACTACTACTATAAGCACAAAGAACAAAATCTTTGTTAAGCCTTTAATGGCATGATCAAAGTATTTAAAACAAATCCTTTCTTTTCCTACGCAAGAAACATTTAAAAGATTGGTTGTCACACAGCCCCACAACAATGCAGTTCTTTGGTGTGTTATTTAACCATAACACAGCATGGTACAACGGCATGGCTGCTGCTGTGGAAGCACTGTACCAACTTCCCTCTTTTTCTTTATGTTACTCATGTCAAAGCAGCATTTTACTGTGTCTTTTTTTATGTCCCATATGTACTAGTTCAATAATTAATAACACACTTATAACTCTGTAGCATGACTTGTATGCAGCATTGACACCAATATGGCTGTTTGTTTACTTTGCAGAATGAGGTGTTACATTTTAGTCTAGACCATATTGAACCATATGGATTGATTCTGCTTGGGGGCCCCGGGGCAGAATTGAGCAACTGAGGTCCTGCTGACCCCTGATATCACACTTATGTGCATATTACTATTTAAAGTTTCTTTTAACTGAATTTCCACAAACCAGTTAAACTACCTAGTGGCCCACATTGTCCCATTGGTAGTTCAATGTACAACATACAATATGCAAGTTAGAATACTTAATGCTATACACAAACTCATAAACATTTTTTTTTTTTTATATATATATAATAACACTAGTCTTCTAAATAACACCAAGTGCACCAATTCATTTGAAGCTACTGCTCCTGCTGTACTATAATAAACACGTCTGACGTAATGGCTTCCCCTAAGCAAGGCTGTAACGACGGTGTAACAAGCACACCGACGTCTCTCACCCGTATCTCATGTTTGTCGTTGCCCTCGTCGCTTTCTTTCCCCGCACGTTTCTTCTGCTGCAGCTGTATCGTCTCGAACGTCTTCAGCAGCTCCTCTTCCTTCAGCGTGTGAGCGTGGTTCCTCGACGCGAAGTTCTCCAGGAGCTCCAGCACTTTCACTATTTTCGGCACCAGACCCGCGACGCTCTCTTTGCCCCCGCCGTCGATGAGCTTCTCCACCTCGGTGCCGATCAGTTTGGCTATTTCATACACGTCGTCCACGGTCAGAGCCGAGAACGTCCGGTGAAAACAGCCCTCCGAGTGTGCTTCGGGTGCCTCCATGTCCGAGTGGGAACCAGCTCACTTCACATGCTCTTAAATCCGGTATCGAAACCGACAGCGACCAGTCAGCGCGACGTGACAGTAAGCCGTTTATAAACGAGTGCAGAAAGTTTAAAGTGAATACATAGTTGAGCCCACGCTGCAGACACGCCTGAACTTGTCTTGCGTATCTTCGAACAGCACCCGTTGCATTTTTAATGTTTGCTCAAAATAACACAGCCTACCAAAACAAACAAAAATACAAGAACATCGAGTACTCCGCTGTGAAATACGTAGTACAAGGCTGGCCAGTTCTCCTGCAGTCTACTCACTGTAGGATCCTCCTACTTTCCTGACCAATGTAATTAGAGTACACACACACACACACACACACACACACGCACACACACGCCAGGTCGAGCATACCGATGCATGCACCAGAGCGTGAACATTGAATTTCCTCTGTTGATCTGCAGTCACAAATGCTGACCTATGACTGTCAATCACATAAGTAAAATGAAGTCCCACACAGGTTAGACTCCAGTAAAGAGACATCTTTCAATGGCAGGCCCCTATATTCAAGATCCTGGTATCCAGATTGTTAAAGTGTGCTTGAGCAGCTCACCGACACCAAACCAAGCGGGTTCACTTGAGGCGGCGTGGACCTCCGGCTTCTCCGAAAAAGGGAAGCAAGCCAAATAAGTTCCACCGCACAGTCAAAATTAACATAAATGCTTCACTTCTCTTCTGGTTACACCGTTTTATTAAGCAATTAGAATAACAGAACATCACAATATCACATGACAAATGTTTATTTAAAAAAGAAAACCTGTGATCTTTATTTAAACCAAAGCTACAATGTCAGAGGGTGTACAGTACAACATGGTAACAGGGCTTTACTGGCAAGAAAATACAACTTTCAATTTCATTTCTCTAGAGCAAAGGGGAAATGAGTCTTTACCCTTTTGAAATGATAATCATCAAATATTACCCCAAAGTATTTTGTACTGCAAACTACACTGAAATGTACTTATGTTTAGATGCATCACAAGCCACACAACGTTGAAAGACTGCATCTTGTTGAAGAAGCATTACTGTAATAATGGAGGTACGAGAGTGGGGAACAAAAACATTTGTAGAAAATATTTTAAAAAACAAACAAAACTTTTTTCTAAGAATGTCCCAAAGCCTTTACATCAAAATTTCCAAAACATCACAGTTGCATGTGTTCAATAGAAATATTACAAGGACTCTTCTGGGCTGGCTCCACGTGATCGTGGCAGAGCTATCTACAAAATGTGTGGCGAGCAGGACGTCTGCTCTCAGGCGTACATGTCCTCCCGGTCCGCATTATAGATCTCGCCCTCCTGCAGTGAGGCAAAGTTTAGGAAGTGCGAGGGCCGGTGGACTTCATGGTAGAACTCCTTTGGGTTGGCCAGCTGCAGGTCGTACTTCATGTTGGGGTCATGGCGAACACCTGGAACAAGACAAACAAAATGTTTGTTTTAAAAATCACCAATTCTACGACATGCATGACTTTAGTAAAGCAGCCCCGACTTGATAAGCCATTGTTTATAAAGATACAAACAAAAACTATGGCTACTGACCCATGAAGTTGTAGTTCCAGGACACCTGCCCAGGCACCATGAAGAAGCCCAGGAAGCGGTCAGAGAGCAGCATCTGCACCCTCTCATAGTGGGACGGCAGGTAGCCTTTAGGGTTGTTGCCCTTGTCTGTGTTCTGCCGGCCCCACTCGTAGCCACTGGGTGTCAGCTTGTAGGCTGTGAGCGTGCACGAGCCGGGGGTGAAGCTGAAAACAGAGGTAAAATACATTAAAGCAACAACTCCTCACTATTAAAAAGCACCAGACAACGACAGCAGGCAAGAAACAGAGCACAGATGTAGGAGCAAAGCAGCCGGTCCAGATCTGGAATATAGACTTCCAGATTATACTTTCAACAGTCATGAATCATACCTGCAAGTGATGATGATGGTCTTCTCTCCGTCCCAAGAGGGGTTGTCAGCCATGACCTTTGCATGGGTGGTGACGTCCTGTGGAGACAGCTGGGGCGACTCATTAGGCTGCGTATGTATCCAGCCGAGGGGCTCCATTTCCTGTTTACACAAAGGTAAAAGTTATAAATTGTCATTTTAAAATCAGTTACAAAGCAGCGAATACAACTAACGAGCATCCATCATAAAATGGTAAAGAATGTGCTGGAAGATTCTGTCAAAGTGCACATTTGTCTTACTTTGAGGTATTCGTGACCAGGCAGCTGGTTGGGCAGGTGAACAGTTTGGTGTGTTCCCCACTGTGGCACCATGACGATACAACGGATCTCCTTCACCTGGGGGTTGTCTGGTGGACTGGTGCCATACAGGTAACCTGCAATCTGGAACAACACAGCGCACATCAGTATCCACAGTTTGTTGCTTTACACAGACTTGATGAGAGACCCTCGGGTAGTGAGTTTGTCTGTCGCCTGCAGTACTATGAACCCTACCTGTGCTCGCAGATCTGAGATGCAGATGAACTTCTTGAGCACGTTCTTGGGAAGGATGTAGGTGTAGCCCGTCTCCTTGATGTCGTCAGATGACACGTAGATGTGGTTGGTTCGGAGGTGGAGGTTGGCAGCGGATATGGCCCTGAGAGGTGAAGCACAAGGAACATTAAAGACAACTGAGACGGGAAAAAAACATTAGGATTACCTAGTTATCCAAATTACTACAATGGTTATTTTTCCTTGTGGATGATAAACTCATTCCTGGGAGAAGAAATGCCTCAAAACAAATTCAAACCATCAGTCCGCTCACCTGACTCTCCATTCTGTCTTGGAGGAGAAGGTCTGGGTCTCATAGTTGGAGGTGGTGGAGGTGATGATCTCGTCACCGTGCTTGTTGACAGTCCGGGTCTGCGTGGCGGTGAGCTGCGACTGCTCTTTGGTCTGCTTCTCAATCTCGGCGATCTGCTGGCGCTGCTGAGACGGAGCGGAGATCTCCATACCCAGGATGATGTCACGGATCTCAGACTGGGTCAGTGAGGCCACGTTCACACTGGACGAAGGCAAGGGAAGCATTGATTACTAGACAAGTTTAGCTTTAGTTCTGTGAAGTTACTGAACAGAACATTTGGATACAAAACTATCTGAGCAACATACTGTATTTATTTCTGGTAAATAGTCAGTCCATGAAGTGAGACTCACTTGTTCTTTTTGCCGTAATCTGCCAGAATGAGATCTTTGAGCTGCACTTCCACCTTGATCCACTCCTCGTCAGTGAGCGTGGGCCAGATGTGATGAGGCTCTGTGATGGTGGTCTTGTCAGGTTTCAGGATCACTTTGGCGCGGTCGTTGTTGACGTGGAGCGCCCTCAGGATCAGGATGAGTCGAGAGAAGGCCTAGAGAGTGAGACAGAACACAAAACAAACTATTTACACAGGGGATAAGTTGATGTGCTCAGGTATACAACACAGTATGACAGCTATAGACTCAGTATGATAGAGTGATACTCACTGTGTAAGACGAGATGGTCTTGAGCCAGTCGTCGTAGAGGTTGAACAGCACCATCTGAGGCTCTGTGGCCTTCAGGATCAGGTCTCCAAACTTCTCCACCTTCAGACAGGCCTGGAAGGGCAGCTGCAACTCGGAGCCTTTGATCACGATGTTGGGGAAGTCAAGCAAGTGGACCTGCACAGAGAGAACAATGGCATTAGATCTGGAACGGAGTCATTTAACTTCCAGAAATTACACAGAGATGACCCCTCAAGGCTTGTAATTATTAGAGAGTTATTAGCATGAAAGAGTCTTACCTCCAGAGGGTCCAGCATGCCCTTCCTGGTTACAATGATCTGTTTGGGCTGCTCTTCCACGGGGAGGGAGCGAATCAGGGCAGCCACTTCTTCAGCTGTCTTCCATTTGGCCAGCTGCAGAGATAAAGCAAGAAGGAAGTTAGAATCTAATAAAGGAATGAGCAACTTCATGCATCCGTCTAGTCTCACACAGAGGGGGTAGGAAGACGTTTCTGAGTGAGTCCGTGTCACTCAGTTGAGTACTTTAGCGGTCAGAACTTCATAAACAAAGCAGGGTCGTACCTGTCCCAGACGTTTCTGTCCAGCCCACACAGATGTGTGAATGATCTTGAGGAAAAGCTGACCAGTCCTGGGGTTGAAGATGAAAATAGCTCCATTGATGGGCTTCGTGGTCAAGTTACCCTCAAAGGTCTGTTGAGATAGACGGAGAATAAATGTGACTAAATTCAGAGGATACATTTTAATATTGCAAAAGAAACATTCAGACACTTAATTTACAACAGTAAGAGAGAGTCATTTCAAAACGAATAGTGCTCTGTTGGGGGGGGACATTCCACCTCACCTTGTGGATGGTGACTCTGTACACGTTGGTGTCGTCTACAAACCAGATGATCTGGTTGGAGAAGAGTTCGCCATAGTTCTGTGAGGACAGGTAGGGCTCAGTGGGCTCGGAGGAGTACAGCTGCAGACCTTTGCGGATGCGCTCCCTGAGCACGTACAGGGCCGGGTTGGCCTTCATGATCTTGGCCATGGCCTGCTGGATCAGAGGCTTGCTTCCAGGGAACCAGTTACCATAAGCACTGTGGAGGAGATAAAACAACGAGTGAAAACACTACATTTAGATTTTTCATTGATTTGACCTCTGTTGAGGACTTCATGGAGGTCAGAGTACACTGACCCAACAACACCATATGAACCGATTTACTAAAACAAGTTGGGAAGCTAGTGTGAAGACTTCCGAGGCTACTGCAGAGCGTACTTGTTGACAAGTGGATGCCAAAATTCAGGCAACGCTGTGAAGCATTTGCCATACATACTAGATATTTGTACACATCTTTAACATTCCCTTTTACATCAATCATTAAAGATCTGCCATCATGCTGGTCATGTACCTGTGGAGGTTGTAAGCCAGGTCGATGGCAATGAGCACCCCGGTGGGGGAGGGGTAGATGCTCATGTTGTCAGTGGTGTAGTCCAGGAACTTGGCCCTGGCGTAGCGCTCGATGTCATGAGAGTCATAGTCACCCCAACGCAGCTGGATGTCGATCCAGTACTTCTGTGTGGTGGTGCTGTCCATCACGTCCCTGTGGGAGGAGGTGCACATTTTAATGCATAGAAGATAAAGGACCTTTAAAATTCTTCCATTATGAGTTTACAAAAAGCCTTGGAAAGATTGGAAAGTCATACTTTGAGTCAGCCAGCAGAGACGGTCTGGAGACGTTCCACTTGTAGGATGCAAAGAGGAGGATGTCTGCACACGAGGAGTTCATCTTGTACGACTTCCTGGGGTGGATGGTCTCCTTCTGCACCGTCTCAATCTCAAGAGCATCCAGCTCTTGATCAAACACCTGAAAACAAAAAGGGAAAAATACGTTATAAGCATTGTGGGAAGAACAATCCCAAAGCAAGTAAAAACTCATTTTAAGAACAAACTTCAGCGTGATACACTTCTGTGAAAACCTCCTTTAAGGAAAAGTCATAAAAACCTACCTGACAGAGATCCATGACAACACTCTCATGAATCTTCTGCCACAAGTGAGCCCTGAAGATCTGAATGAGGGAGATCTTCAGTGTTGGGATCTTGCCGTGCATGAAGATTCCTGTCAAGTCAAGTTGC